ACTTTTCTCTATTTTTATTTGTATTTACTGTAAATGTATTGTTTCTAGTTTTAATAAATTTAGATTAATGATATAGATTTGTAATTATATTCATGTATTAAAGTAAATTTAGTAATATTACTTTCATTTGAGGTAGTTTTTAACTGATTCAAGTATGCTTATACTACTAAATACCTAAAATCTCTGCTATTGCAGAAATCCCAAGCGGAAGGTTGGCAAATAACGACACGATCTGTGGGCTCTTCTAGGATTGAGCTGGCCCAGAAATCAATCGGCAGTGCGGTCATGTTCATGGACACGAAGAAGTCTTCGGCTAATCTAAAGATATCGATAGGAGCGTAACCCTAAGAAAAAGACGATAAAAAAAAAGTAACAATCAGAAGCAGTAAAACGTATACCTGTTTCTCCATTTCCGGTGTCACATCCAGATACTCACGACCCGGATACGGTTGCGTAATTTCGAAGATGTTCGTCCACGATTGCGCCCACATATTTCCCAAAATGTGAGCGGGAAGAGGCGCCTGCCTGTTGATCTTATCCGGCCCGTAAAAATCCCTCAGACGACGTCTCACGTACGCGTGAAGAAGTTCATACAAAGGCTTGACCTCCTCCCAGACATCCTCCAATTCCAAGTTGAGCGAAGACGATTCGAACGGGAAGTTCCAGTACTCCGCCGTATCAGTAAAATCTGCAGGAAAACCGGAATCATTAGAAAGCTCAATTGCGATCAGCAAATACAGTCGGATTACGTAATAACGACACGCGGACGTATCTGCAAATTAGTTTCTGTTTTTTTTTTGTAACTAAATTCAGCGTCTTTATGCCGTTGAGGAAGCGATCGAAGAAAGTCTGAACATGTGTCGAAACACAACAATTTTTTTTCGTTATTTAATCGAATCTAATGTGGAAATCCGATGATAAACCACTTTCTACTAATCGGAAATATAATAATTGTGTGAATTACTGTTGAGACGTGATGCTTCGTTGGAGAGGGTGACCAGCTGCTCGAAGGAGTCTTTGATGTGTTGCCCGGTGTTCCTCCTCCACTCCGTCCACACGTATTGGAGTTCATCCCAATTTCTGCTTGTAGCCATGGTGTGGGTCAAGTCCGGTTGCAGCCTTAAGCCGCATCGGAAAGGCTCGTTTTGGGCGCAGATCGAAGCCTGATTGTATATTGACAACATGTCGTTGATCAATCGATTATACTGAAATCAATCAATTAACTAAAACTCTTCCAATTACTTGAATTAAATACTCTATCCAATTGATCCGGGGCTAAAGCCGCGGGTCCCACAACGGACATGAACCGGATCTGCCTGTAGGTCATTATATCCGGGATGTTGCTGTTCCTCACTTTGGAGAAGAGCTCCCAAATCCCGTGCTGGAAATCGGAATACAGCTGTTGCGCATTCAGCTACAACAACAACAAAATATTAATAATTTTATAAACGCATATAAACATACAAAACTAATGACTAATAATAAGGAACAACAATGCACATGAATTTGCAGCACGCAACGAAATCCGGATGATTCATTGATAAAAAAAAAACTTCCATCTAAGAAACGAAATGAGTTTAGATGCATTATTCATTAATGCATCGTTATATAATCGCATCAACATGAGATTTTTTTTTAGCCTTGAAGGAAAAAAACGTTTGTTGGTCCTCTTGTTACTTCTTCTGAGTAAAGGTGTGTGGAATACGATGATGATAATATAAAATAAAAATGCAGTTAATTACTTAACACCTAATGGATCGTGATAATCTTGTTATTTCTAAAAATCCGAACAATAGATTCGCATTACTTCGCTCACCTGATGGCCTCTTTGCCCTTGATCTCTCATGGACACACCATCATAAATCGTTGCATATATACGGTTTTAGAAAAAAATATTCGCTAAGGTTTATATTAAAATTGCAACGTGAGGCCGGATATTATTTATACTCGATGTTCACAATGAAATTGTTGCAATTTTTCATTGAAATAATCATATATTTTACATATTTGATGCAATCACATATATTCTTATATAATATCAAGTTTATCATAAAAAAAAGTTTCTATTTTGTTGTTAAATTACTTGTAAATAAATACTTCTAATTATTGCATAAAATTTTCTGAAATTTATATGTTCTTATAGGAATCAATTGATTATTAAATTCCATTATTCAAACGATTCCGAAAATGGTGTACAAATATTATGATTTATTATATATATTATTTCTATTTATAAAAATCCTTGTCATAAAAGAAGCGTTACTCTTTTGTTGTTAAATTATTTGTAAATGAAATAACATAAATATATAATTTCTTAATTAACAGGTTTACTGACATTAAAAATAACCAAATAATTTGAAAACATTCAAAAATTGTAATAAAAATTAACTAAAAAGACGTTTTTTCCAAAATGTTATTTCCATATAAAAATATTTTTAAAAATTAAGAAATATTGTTTAAAAATTTCAATCTTCTGTTTGTGTAAATAAAACAAAGTCAGTTTTTTAAGTGAAATTGAAGCAAATAAAGAAATTATATTCAAAAATCGTTGGATTTTCTTTAAAAAACAATTTTAAAATTTGTGTAAAATGAAAGCAACGTATATATTTATATAATAATAAATTTCCGAAATTTCCCAATGAAAATATTGAAGTTTCTTTGCATTTATTTATAATAGAGTAATACAAGATGTGTTTGGTAGAAAATTGAAGGAAATTGGAGAATACAGAATTTTTCATAAATTGCTTTGAAATAATCGATTTTAACAGCAAAAATGTAAATTTGTAAATGACAAATTTCTGAAATTTCCCAATGAAAATATTGAAGTTTCTTTGCATTTCTTTAAAATAGAGTAATACAAGATGTGTTTGGTAGAAAATTAAAGGAAATTGGAGAATACGGAATTTATCAAAAATTAATTTGAAAAAATCGATTTTAATAGTAAAAATATGAATTTGAAAGTAATAAATTTCAGAAATTTCTCAATGAAAATATGGAAGTTTCTTTGCGTTTCTTTATAATAGAGTAATCGAAGATGTGTATGGTAGATAATTGAAGGAAATTGGAGAATACAAAATTTTTCATAAATTGGTTTGAAATAATCAATTTTAACAGCAAAAATGTGAATTTGAAAATAATTAATTTCTGAAATTTACTAATGAAAATATTGAAGTTTCTTTGCATTTCTTTATAATAGAGTAATACAAGATGTGTTTGGTAGATAATTGAAGGAAATTGGAGAATACAGAATTTTTCATAAATTGGTTTGAAATAATCAATTTTAACAGCAAAAATGTGAATTTGAAAATAATTAATTTCTGAAATTTACTAATGAAAAAATTGAAGTTTCTTTGCATTTTTTTATAATAGAGTAATACAAGATGTGTTTGGTAGAAAATTGAAGGAAATTGGAAAATACGGAATTTTTCATAAATTGGTTTGAAATAATCAATTTTAACAGCAAAAAAGTGAATTTGAAAATGACAAATTTCTGAAATTTCCCATTGAAAATATTGAAGTTTCTTTGCAATTCCTTATAATAGAGTAATACAAGAAATATTGTTTAAAAATTTCAATCTTCTGTTTGTGTAAATAAAACAAAGTCAGTTTTTTAAGTGAAATTGTAGCAAATAAAGAAATTACATTCAAAAATCGTTGGATATTCTTTAAAAAAACATTTTTAAAATTTGTGTAAAATGAAAGCAACGTATATATTTATGTAAATTTATGAAGTAAAGAAATAGATAAATCATATTCAACAGTCGTTGGATAAACAAGAAATAATGTTAATGTACGCTTATTTAATTACAGTCCATTTGTTCTTCGTAAACCGATAATTTTCCTATTTTAATAACCATTAATTCCTTATGTAAATTCATGTAAAATTGCGTACGGACACAACAATTAAGTACTAAATTACAGCCCGTTTTCACAAGAAGTGACAATACGAGAACAATTAATGCATACGTAAAAAAAATAACTTATTATTGAAACAAATTAAAAAAAAACGTGTCATTAACATATGCATTTTCAGTTAATAAGGTATAATTTTCTAATTGCGAGGTAATAAAAGTGACAATTTTTATAGATATAAATTAATGTTGTTTTATTTGTTGTTAATTGTTTGTATAATCTATAGATGGATAAATGTGTGTATAAGAGATAAAAATGTGAAGGAGTCATTGGGAAATAAGGGAAGTGTGTTAAATGGTCGAAACCTGGGAACTCTTCATGGACATTCCCAGGAGTATAGAGTTCTTTCGATTATTCGCTGTGTCTTGTTGTTATTGCACACAATCGGCTACCTCATTGTGTAGGGATCGTCCGTTGCATAACTCCCAACGATTAACACTAATTGTATTAATTTATATATCTGCAAAGATTTTAACGTCACGCACCTGACTGTTTAATGTCAATGTCGTACATATATTACGTTTCATTTTTGTCTCTTTGTTTCTTCTATATATATATTTTTTTTGTGAAAGAATAAAATTTTATTTAATTGCAAATTTTTACATTCTAAATACAAGTTCAAGTTCAAATCCTTTTTTATGTAAGTAAAATTATTATATTATATAGTTGATTTCTTATTGAAAATGTATAATTTCGTTGCAATTTTTAATAATAGATTAATACAAAAATTAATTTGAAAAAATCGATTTTAATAGTAAAAATGTGAATTTGAAAATAATTAATTTCTGAAATTTCCCAATGAAAATATTGAAGTTTCTTTGCATTTGTTTCTAATAGAGTAATACAAGATGTGTTTGGTAGAAAATTTAAAGAAATTGGAGAATACGGAATTTTTCAAAAATTCATTTGAAATAATCGATTTTAACATCAAAAAAGTGAATTTGAAAATGACAAATTTCTGAAATTTCCCAATGAAAATATTGAAGTTTCTTTGCATTTCTTTATAATAGAGTAATACAAGATATGTTTGGTAGAAATTTGAAAGAAATTGGTGAATACGGAATTTTTCAAGAATTCATTTGAATAAATTGATTTTAACAGCAAAAATGTGAATTTGAAAATAATAAATTTCCGAAATTTCCCAATGAATATATTGAAGTTTCTTTACATTTCCTTATAATAGAGTTTCAAGATGTGTTTGGTAAAAAATTGAAGGAAATTGGAGAATACGGAATTTTTCTAAAATTAATTTGAAAAAATCGATTTTAACACTAAAAATGTGAATTTGAAAATAATAAATTTTCAAAATTTCTCAATGAAAATATTGAAGTTTCTTTGCGTTTCTTTATAATAGAGTAATACAAGATGTGTTTTATAGAAAATTGAAGGACATTAGAGAATACGGAATTTTTCAAAAACTAATTTGAAACAATCGATTTTAACAGCAAAAATGTGAATTTGAAAATAATAAATTTTCAAAATTTCTCAATGAAAATATTAAAGTTTCTTTGCATTTCTTTATAATAGAGTAATACAAGATGTGTTTGGTAGAAAATTGAAGAAAATTGGAGAATACGGAATTTTTCATAAATTAATTTGAAAAAATCAATTTTAATCGTAAAAATGTGAATTTGAAAATGACAAATTTCCGAAATATTCCAAAAAAAATATTGAAGTTTCTTTGCATTTATTTATAATAGAGTAATACAAGATGTGTTTGGTAGAAAATTAAAGAAAATTGGAGAATACGGAATTTTTCATAAATTGGTTTGAAATAATCAATTTTAACAGCAAAAATGTAAATTTGAAAATGACAAATTTCTGAAATTTCTCAATGAAAATATTGAAGTTCCTTCACATTTCTTTATAATAGAGTAATACAAGATGTGTTTGGTAGAAAATTAAAGAACATTAGAGAATACGAAATTTTTCAAAAAATTGTTTGAATTTGTCCATTTTAACATGAAAAATTATGCATTTGAAAATATTTAATTTCTGATTTTTTACAATGAAAATGTTGAGATTTCCTTGCAATTCCTAATAATAGAGTAATTCAAGATGTATCTGGTAGAAAATTGAAGAACATTAGAGAATACGGAATTTTTCAAAAATTCATTTGAAATAATTGATTTTAACATCAAAAAAGTGAATTTGAAAATGACAAATTTCTGAAATTTCCCAATGAAAATATTGAAGTTTCTTTGCGTTTCCTTATAATAGAGTAATAGAAGATGTGTTTGGTAGAAAATTGAAGGAAATTGGAGAATACGGTATTTTTCAAAAATTCATTTGAAATAATCGATTTTAAGAGTTAAAATGTGAATTTGAAAATAACAAATTTCCGAAATTTCCTAATCAATATATTTAAGTTTCTTTGTAATTCTTAATAATAGAGTAATACAGGGTATGTTTGATAGAAAATTGAAGAAAATTAATTTATTTCGTTTGTTATTAAACAAATTAAACTAAATGTATGTTAAATAAAACATTTCGGTATTTGGAATAATCGTTTGTAAACAGATAGTAAAATATGCAAAGTACATAAGGGCGTCAAGTTGCGTAAATCGTTCCGAACATAGAGGCACGTTCCATTCGTAAAATATGCTTTACGCAAGGATATATGCCTTATAATTGGATTACGTGTTTTGCAGCGTGAAAAACGGGGCCGGTCTTGAACTGCGCTTCATGAGTTTTATTTTTTCTTTTTCGTCAAAGATCAAACTTGACCTCATTCTCTTGACGAAATGCTGATGTATAGGCATAGAGAAATAGAGAGAACAATGGGTTTTTTCGCGTATGTGGAAGGTCCCAATGTCATCGTCTGGTGGATGGTATCATCCGACCAAATGGTTGTTCCGTCAAGCCTGACACGTTCCTCGCGATAATAGCTAATGCACTTTACCTTTTGACGATGTCCCATTTACTTAGTTGCTGCACGCTTTAAGCGAATTCACTTCTGTTTGTCGAGTAAATAATATAATTGAACTGCGGTTTACGTAACGCGCGCTAAATTCTTACATTAACTCTCATCTCGTTTTTCCTTTTTAATCGATCTTTTTTTACCCTTAAATTAGTCATGTTTCATACAACAAAATATGAGATTTTTTTTTATATTTCCCAATGAAAATGTTTAAATTTCTTTACAATTCTTAATAATAGAATAATTCAAGATGTGTTTGGTAGAAAATTGAAGAAAATTAGAGAATACGGAATTTTTCAAAAATGTGTTTGAAATAGTCAATTTTTACATGAAAAATTATGCATTTAAAAATATTTAATTTCTGACTTTTTACAATGAAAATGTTTACATTTCTTTGCAGTTCTTAATATTAGAGTAATTCAAGATGTATTTGGTAAAAAATTGAAGAACATTAGAGAATACGGAATTTTTCAAAAATTTGTTTGAAATTGTCCATTTTAACATGAAAAATTATGGATTTGAAAATGTTTAATTTCTGACTTTTTACAATGAAAATGTTTAGATTTCTTTGCAATTCTTAATAATAGAGTAATTCAAGATATGTTTGGTAGAAAATTGAATGCAATTAGAGAATATGGAATTTTTCAAAAGTGTGTTTGAAATTGCCCATTTTAACATGAATATTTATGAATTTGAAAATATTCAATTTCTGACTTTTTGCAATGAAAATGTTTAGATTTCTTTGCAATGCTTAATAATAGAGTAATTCAAAATATGTTTGGTAGAAAATTGAAGAAACTTACAGAATACGGAATTAGTTTGAAATAATCGCTTTTAACCATAAGAATGTGGTTAAAATTTGAGAATACTTTCGGTAATAAATCTAGAAAATCATTTATTAACAAATAAAGTAAACTATATTATTGTTAAAGTTATTTTTAGACCATTATCCGCGTTTGTTTACAAACTTTACATAACTAAAGCAAACTCTATTATTTCTGAACTGATTCCAATCAAAATATGCATTAATTTCCAAGAAAAACAATAACGCCACAATAAAATTATACAAGATTTGCATATAATCTCTGCAGTTCTTTTTACATATATTTATTACTATATCACGCAGATTTTTTTCTCTATCTCTCCTCCATTCGTGCCAAGATTATTAAACGCAATTACGTTCAGCATTGAACCAAATGCATCTCAACACTAAAAGCCACCAGAACTTAGTTAATAAATTTAATTGAAGAGTTATTAGAGTGTTGCAAACGGTAATAAAAAAAAAAAGAATCGTACACGCATTGAAAAATTGAGAAAAAATCTCGTAGATGCTCAGACAATAAGTAGGAAATCGGTTACGTGCACTTTCATTGTTTTTTACACTCACCGCTTCGAGTTGGGTAACTTGATTGACGTTCGTCTCGAAATTCCATTGGGCCGCAACGTTGCTGGTGCATTGCTGAGAGGCCTGAAGATCCAAAGCCTGAAGCAACTGACGGATGTCACCGTTGTAGCTGTACCCATCCTCGTTGTTCCTTCTGTTTTCATTGTTGTTATCATTGTTGTTGTTGTTTTGCTGGGGGATGTTGGGATTGGAGTTGTAATTTAGGTTGCGATCGTAGATGGGATTTCGATCGTAGGTGTCCCGATCGTAATTGGGATTCCTGTCGTAATTGTAATTCGTGTAATCTACGCTCGGATTCTGGGGTTGCTGCTGCTGTTGCTGTTGCTGCTGATCGTACTGGGGTAAATCTAGCTGCGGTACGGACATTCCTCCAGCGAAGAACGCTACCACGATGAGGGTCTTCTTCGGGAAATCGCACATTTCTTCTGCTTCTGCTTCGAAAAACCGTGCAAGACCACTCTGATTAGAGCCGTGCGTTTGACTAACGAGTGCGGTGCGATTTTTTTGTTATTTATTCGTTTGCTCAGTTTTTGAACTGAAATATATACGTATGTAGAGAGAAAAAAAAAATTTAGATACGTGAGTTCCCACGTAGTGGGAGGAGGTGGGTCTCCGATGTGTCTATTTACCTTGCCCCGTGTGCATGTGTGTTATTGTCGTCGTCGTCGTCGCTTTCACGCAACCGGCAATTGTTTCATGCAGAATATGCTAATTGAGCTGCTCCTTCGCTGTCCTTTGTTATGTTTCAATCTTCACTTTTACACTTACACTTTTATTAGTTTCTCGATGGAAATTAAACGCACCTAATTACTCTAATTACTTCAAAAAAATATATTATTCATTCAAGGAATTAAGCTTTACACAACCATAGCTTACCTTGGTAGGAACATTAATCCATTAACCTTAATCCACATTTACTTTAGTACCAGCGTTCTTATCAACTGTCATTAGTAACATAGCAATTATAACGAGTTATTAGTAACTTAGCAACAGTAAAACGTCTTTAGTTACAAATGTACCATCCTTAGCAACTACTATTGGTAGTATAGCAACTAAAACGCGTCCTTGGAAACAATGGTATAAGTACTCAGAAAATGGGATTAGTATTATATTTAGTAGGAAGACTGTTATTAGTATCATAGCAACCGCAAAGTTATCTTGGATATAAGGATTAGTAACATAGCAATCGCAGATCGTCTTTAGTAACAGCGGTTGCGTTCTGACAACCAAAAAGCGTCTTTAATAACTACCCAAAGATGTACAACAATTATGTCTTTTCTGTGTTTGTTAAGCTTTACATAACCATAGCATACCTTGATAGGAACATTAATCCATTAACCTTAATCCACATTTACTTTAGTACCAGCGTTCTTATCAACTGTCATTAGTAACATAGCAATTATAACGAGTTATTAGTAACTTAGCAAGAGCAAAAGGTCTTTAGTTACAAATGTACCATCCTTAGCAACTTCTATTGGTAGTATAGCAACTAAAACGCGTCCTTAGAAACAATGATATAAGTACTCAGAAAATGGGATTAGTATTATATTTAGTAGGAAGACTATTATTGGTAGCATAGCAACCGCAAAGTTATCTTGGATACAAGGATCAGTAACATAGCAATCGCAGATCGTCCTTAGTAACAGCGGTTGCGTTCTTGACAACCAAAAAGCAACTTTAATAACTACCCAAAGATGTCTATTCTGTGTTTATTAAGCTTTACATAACCATAGCTTACCTTGATAGGAACATTAATCCATTAACCTTAATCCACATTTACTTTAGTACCAGCGTTCTTATCAACTGTCATTAGTACCATAGCAACTGTACATAGCAACGACTTATTAGTAACATATCAATAACAAAACGTCTTTAGTTACAATTGTACCATCCTTAACAACTACTATTGGTAGTATAGCAACTAAAACGCGTCCTTAGAAACAATGGTATAGTACTCAGAAAATGGGATTAGTATTATATTTAGTAGGAAGACTGTTATTAGTATCATAGCAACTGCAAAGTTATCTTGGATACAAGGATTAGTAACATAGCAATCGCAGATCGTCCTTAGTAACAGCGGTTGCGTTCTTGACAACCAAAAAGCGTCTTTAGTAACTACCCAAAGATGTACAACAATTATGTCTTTTCTGTGTTTATTTGTAAATAAATACTTTTATGATAAAAAAAGGAAATTTTTGTAACATTTTCATTGAAATATTATTAATTTCACACCAATTTCAATTAATAGTTTAAAATGATCATTAAAAAATGAATTTACATAAATTTATTTATATAATTCTTAAATTTTGTTTGTTGTTGTTGTTATTGTTGCAAGCGAGAGGTCAAAGTAATAAAAACATTAATCTTGTTACAAAATTTGTGTGTGTGTGACAAGAATATGGATTTTTATGTGGTTAAGAAATTTTCCTCTAAAAACGTGTTTGTTTTATTTTTGATGTTATTATTTAAATTTAATAATTATTTACATCAAATTATTTCATTAATTCCATATTGGTATTAAAAATTTTCTTAGCGTAATTTACTTGAAAATCATGTTTAATCATCATTAAATTATTTCTACTTATTTCTCAAATTTAGCAACTAAAAGTGAGTCAAGTTTTTTTTGACTCATCAGATTAGTAACAACAACAACAACAGTAATTAGTTTAATTTCTACAAAATTCTCTCGAAAAGAAAACACGCATTTCTTCGACTTACTTCAAGTTAACGATTCATTTCTTAAATGTAATAATTACGCGAGTTCACTCATCTAATTGCATAAAGTTTAAATGAATCGATTCAGGAAATGATTCACAATATTACACGTGCGGAATTGCTACTTTATACAAATATAAAAAACAGCACCAACAAACAATATTTGCGGTTTTGCAGCATGCAACACTTTGATTCGGTTAAATAATCGTTGAAATTACGTTGACAAATCAATTTAGCAGACGTTCGTGCAATCGATAATTTTTAAGTTAATTAGCAAACAACTTTATTGCAGTTTCAGTCTGTTTGTAGATTTGCAATTAGTGGTTTTAATTTTTGATATTCTCATGACTAATTAAACGTATTGACTTGAATAATTTCAAATTATATTAAATTTTAATAAAATGTAGATAATGTTGTGATTCAAATTAAAGTGGTAATTGCATTATTTTCTAATTAATTTAATTGGATCGGGTACATGTGTGCGAACAAAGAGTAAACATAATTATTGGCTAAATTACGCAATTCACGTACTTCCAAACTGAGAAAAATCCTATTTGTGTGCATAAACTATTACAGAAATTACAAAATATCAATGCTTTTTTTTTTTACAAGATTTCTCCAAGAACCGGAAATTTAACAACCGTCGCCGGTTTATCCTTCTCCGAGAACCAAACGGATCCGTTCTCTCCTTGCGTGATGCTGAGGATCATAGCCTTGGCTGCAGATTCGCACCTAAAAAATGGTCTCCTTTTAATTGAGCATCGAAACTAAACAGTAAAATTCTTACGTTTGCATCGAAGCCAGGACTTGCTGATGGAACGGATTGTACAGATCCATGTAGTTCTTCGGCGCACGGAAATGATGGGACATCGGTGTATCAGTCACGGTTCCGCAAACCGTAACAATCCTGACCTTATGGGTTGCGTAATGTTCCGGCCTTCCCAGACTCCTCGTGATCGCCACCAAACCGTGCTTGCTGGCGCTGTAAGCCGGAAGAACGTTCACAGGATTGATACCGGAAACGGAAGCGGAATTGAAGAGAACCGCATCCTCTCCGCTCTTGTACTTGGGCAGATATTTATCCACGGCTAAGTAAAGAAGTTTCAAAGCTCCGATCTGCAAGAATCGAAGCAATCAAGACGTAATCAAGTTAATCGATGGATGAATTTACTAAATTGACGTCGATGGTGTTAACGAAATCGATTTCGTCAAGCACGCCGGCGTTTCCGATCACGATGTCCAGATTCTTGTACACGTCTACAGTCTTCTGCATCGCATCTGCACGAACAATAATAGTTACAAATTTTTCAAAAATTCCGTTTGAGAATACAAACCGTCCAATTCCTTCGTGCTCCTCGCATCCGCTTTGATGAACATCGTTTTGTTCGGTCCAAATTCCGAGGCTACTTCCTCCTGGAACTTCTCGGCCAAGCTATCATCAATGTCTGTTATCACAACAGCCTACGATAAAAAAAAATACTTCAAATAAAATAATAGATAAAAAAAAATTACAAAACTACAGATTGCTCAAAAATTAGTGAATTAATAAATAATTGCATAAACAACATAATAAATCTAATGCAAAGGTTTTAAACCTTTAATTTAACTTATTATTAATGAGTGCGTTTAATTAACTTTAATTATTTAGATTTCCTAAAGAGATTTTTTTTTGTATTTGAAAGTTTTTTTTTTCCTTTAGTAATTATTACCTTGGCTTTGCATTTGAGCAGTTCCTTAACGTAGGCCCTACCTATACCGCCGAGGCCTCCCGTGATGAAAGCAACTTTCCCTTCGATGTCGAACATGGCTCGCTCTGATCTGAACTGGAGCTGATATCAAAAGTGCTCTGATTTTATTTGTAACCGTAATAATACTACTACTTTTTTTTTTCGTTACGTTTTCATCGCCGATCTTTGATCTCGACAGGTAAATAATATAACGGGTCGTGGAAATACAAAATGTATGCAGATAATTATAGAGAAATGAACGGTTGTAAATATTGGATAAGTTGAGGGAAATTAAATAAAAGAAAATTATAAATTAAAGAAATTTTAATCTAAATCTACAGTTGGGGTAGCGCAATAATTCGGTCATTCCAATGATTCGGTCATTCCTCTGACGGTTTGTTGTCGTTCCTCGAACTGCTGCAAACTGTAAAATTTCCATTTAATTTTGATGATTAAAATGAATTAAAAAATAAACCTCTTTTGCTCGGCTCCCAACCAATGAAAACTCCGTTCTTTTTGTTCTCAGCCTCGAGCCAATCCTGAAGAGGTTTGAAGTAATCCAAGATTCCGCTTGCGTCCATATTCCTTTGTCCGGTTACGACTTCCATCGCGTCTTGCCATGGACGGGAAGCGCCCATTTGCAACATTTTCCCTAAAACGTTTCCGGCTTCAGTGCTCTGATAGATGTCGCACTCGTGCAGAGGTTTGCTCGGATCGTTCGGCACGTATTCGCCTGCTTTGATGCACAAAGCTCTGTGAAATTGGAATTGAATGACGTAGCTCACGAAATATCTGCAATAATTTGTTTTAAAAAAATTGAAATTCGTTTACAGAAATCGTTACCTAATGTACGGAACGTTAGCAACGATATGATACTTCGAAGCGGGATCGAAGTCATCTTCGCTTCTATCCAAAGGAGGCTCGATTCCTTGATAATCCTCCACCAATTTCCACCACTTGCAGTTGTAATCCTGAGATGGAATATCGTTGGAGAAGACGCCCCAACGCCACAAATCCATGACGTAGGCGAACGGCAAAAAGGTAATTTTACTCAAACCGTTCTGCAAACAAATAAATCTTAAGTAATTCATTCATTAAAATCTTAAGTAATTACAAAGTAAAGGTTGTTTAAATCGGATTCTGGGTCGTCTTCGCCGGAAGCCAAACCAATTTTCTTCAGATGTTTCGACGTCCTCACTGATAACGCGATCACATCGCCGATAGCTTCATGAAAACCTGAAGAAATAAACAAAATTATTAAGTGATTTTATTTATACAGGTTTTCTTTACCTTCGTTAGCGCCTCCTCTGTAAATTGCCGGTTGATGTGCGTACTGCAAGAAATACTCGATGTGTCCCATTTCGTGATGGGCCACAAACAGATCTTCCTCCTTCACTTGCGTGCATTGTTTAATTCTGTAATTTTACAATAAATTTTGGTAATTATTTGTCAGTCAATACATTTTAATTTTCAATTGATTAGTGGCAACATTGTCAATATTTTTTAGCCAAAATTCTTATGATTACTTTATCAAGAAATCGTGTTCTATTGAAAGTATGATTATAAATATAAAAAGAGGATATCTACAATTACCATTAACTCATATTTAATTGTTAAAAAAAAGTCCAATTTTGAAAAATTGTAAAAAGTATTTATGCGATAAGATTTTATAGTAAAATTATTTTAATTACTTTATCTCTGATATATCTTACTAAAATTACAAAGTAACTCATTCTTTAGATTATTTAATTGTGAAATGCAAAAGATTAAGTAAATTTCTTTGAAATTCTAGCAATAATTAGTTAATAATTGATTAGAAAAGTATGAAGATTACCTGAAATTTTTACCATCGAAAAAGTCCATAGCAGAAGCATGACAAACAACTTCACGATCCGTCGGTTTCTGCAACATCGATTCCTCCCAAAACTGCGGAGGCATTGCGGTAAGATTCAAAGAAACGAAGAACTCTTCGGCGGTTTTGAAGATTTTCAAGTAATCGTAATTCTAAAACACACAAAAAAAAATCATATACATTTAGAATTGATTTTGTTGATGGTTTAGCATTTGAAGATTACCTGCTTGATCATTTCTTCGGTGATGGACAAACTTTTCTTGTTCGGGTAAGGTTTGGACTGATCGAAAAAGTGCTCCCAAGATTGTGCCCACATGTTACCAGTGAGATGCGCAGGAATCGGACCTTTTTCTGGGACCAAATCTCCGTAAGTCTTCCTCATCTGATGCCTGACGTAAGCGTGGATCTGCAGGTATAAAGGTTTCATCTGCTTCCAAAGCATTTCGATCTGATCTTTAATATCCGCAGTGTCGTAATCGCTGAGCCAGTACTCGCTGGTGTCGGTGAAGTTGTTCAATCTTGCGGATTCGTTGTCGAGTTCAATGTGTTCTTTGTACATTTGCCTCACGTTCTGACCAACGGCTTTCCTCCACTCCACCCAAATGTGCTTCAGCTCTTCAGGGTCTTTGGACGTACGTATGATCGATTCCAAATCTACAAACATCATAGTAAAATAAGTAATTCAAGTTTGAAACATTATTTATTAATTAAAAGAAAATAAATATTTGTTACCTGGATTAAGCGCCAAATCGCACTTCTTTGAATCCTTGTAGTCGCACACTTTGGCCGTAGAGTAAAGCTCCTGCATTTCTGAAACCAATTTGGAATTCCTCTGGAACTTCTCTTCGGAAAGGATGGCTGGACCGAGGATGGAGAGCATCTTGAACTGTCTCTTGATGTCGTTATCCCTGAATCCTTGCCATTTGAACTTGATGACTTCATCCCATTGCTTCTTGAGGGACTCAGCGATTACAGTTTCCGTGTCCAACTGGTAAAAGAAGAATCTGTTAATCTTAGAGTAATCAGTATAAAGATCTTACCAGATGCTTCTTGTTGGGCTCGGTCAGATTCGTCTGGTAGTTCCATTCTGCGTTCGCGAGTCTCTGGTACTCTTCCAGACGGACGCCGTTGATGTGTTGAAGGAAAGTCCTGGCTCTCAGCTCTTCCTCCTCCAATTCCGGATCGGCGCACAAAGCCACCGTCCACAGAAGGCAGCAGACCGAGACGCACTTCCAGATCCACATACTTCAATCCGTTCCTTCTTTACGCAAAGAGAGATTGCGCGCGATCGAAACCGGCACGAACTTACCCAGGTTCAAGAATGAGAGGTGGGCCGGACGAAGGAACCGTTTTTATACTGAGATCACGAAGAAGAGGTGATCCGTGGACCGGTTGCTGGCAATGACCGGGCTACAACGAATCCGCAATAAATTAGCATAAACAACTTTCCGGTTCTCTTCTGCTGCAAATACACACACAAATGTTGTTGATTTAACAAATGTTATTATTCATTTTTTTTCGGGTTTTCTGGATGTGCGTTACCCACGCAAATCATAAAAACAAACACGATTTCTTCTTTCGCTTTACCGAAACGGACGAAGAAGAGAGAGAGAGAAAGCAGACCGATCCGAATCCGTCTCGTTGAGGTCAAGGATTAAACCCAGATAGAACTGCATTTATCAATTATACAACACACGCGAGACTTACAATTAGCGGATTTAATTAAGAAAGAAGAGAGTGGGACGTGAAGAAAACATATTGCATAGTCGCGTTTATTTCATTGATTCAGCACTTTACCAAATGTAATTAACACATCTTTGGCAGACCAATTACATACTCATTCACTTCAAACTTACTTAAACCGATAAGCAGAAACACTATCTAATAACTGTGCATGTTTTTTTCTTAAATTTATATTCAAAGAGATTAACTTTAGTCGTAATCTTATATTTAGTATTCATTCTCGGTTGCTTCCGATCACAGAATAATAAAGCTATAAACTACAATCACATTGATTTCAACCTTTTGTTTGCAAACATCCTTAATTTATGTAAATGCTGCAATTTTATTGTCTTCTACTTTCATTAAATTCAACGACAACAAATATTTATAGTTTTCACGGTCAAAAGCGTTTGCATTCTCAATATTTACTAATTTAACAAACAAATTAATTAACAAAATTTGAAGTTAGACATTAATATTTGAAGTTAGTATTTGAAAATAGAAGTTTTGTAATCCAAAGTAAATATATTTTTTTAAAAAAGACTTACCGCTTCGTGCACTAAATCTTAACTATTGTATAAGTGCAGGAAGAGAGGTATTTTTCTTTTTGAATATGGAAGAAAAGAACTTAGTATAATATTATAATGAACTCAGATATATGAGTAATAAAAATCAAGAATTGAAATTGAGAAAATTATTCAGATTGAAACAGAAAAACAACAACAATATAATAATGTATTTCAATCGTTGACTCATGGTCTCATTTATGCACTTCATGGTGTTAAATGGAATTGTAAATAATTGCTTAAAATATGTGTGTTTTAAATTATTTGCACCACAAAGAAAAATTTTAAATTATAAATATTAAAGAGATTTTAGCACATATTATATTAATTAAATGAACATTCGAAAGAGATGTAAAATTTGATGAATTTAAATAATTCGTGTTATAATCCACTAAGTTTATTAATAATTGCGTTGTTAATTTTCAAAATTGTATACATACTTGTATATTGAGTTGCCTATATATTTTTAACGCACTTTTAATTAAACATCAATTATTACTGAAATAACAATATTTTATTCTAATTATAATTAAATAATAATTCTACTTTAATTAATTAACATAATTGAATCAATGTGATGAAATAATAACTTTGAAATGTTTTTAAATTTTTATTGTTATAATATGTTTAGGTAAATAACTTGGATTCTATAATTAATCAACATTTGTATGGATTCTATAATTTAATCAACATTACATGATTATTGAGGCTATGATTTCTGAGTAATTTAAGTATATTAGAAATTGTTCTCATGAGCGCATTTTGTATGCAACCTCATATACAAATATTTGAATTTAAAGCTGGAATATATTTTAACGCACTTCTAATTAAACATCAAATATTACTGAAATAATAATAGTTTATTCTAATTATAATTAAATAATAGTTCTACTTAAATATTCGCTTAACATAATTGAATTAATGCAATGAAATAATAATTTCGAAATGTTTTTGAATTCTTATTGTTATCATAAGTTTAGGTAAATAATTTGGATTCTATAATTAATCAACATTTTTATGCTTATTACGAGTATTGAAGCTATGATTTCTGAGTAATTTAAGTATATTGTTTTGATGAGCGCATTTTGTATGCAACCTCATATACAAATATTTGAATTTAAAGCTGGATTATATTTTAACGCACTTCTAATTAAACATCAATTATTACTGAAATAACAATAGTTTATTCTAATTATAATTAAATAATAGTTCTACTTTAATATTCGCTTAACATAATTGAATTAATGTAATGAAATAATAATTTCGAAATGTTTTTGAATTATTATTGTTATGATATGTTTAGGTAAATAACTTGGATTCTATAATAAATCAACATTTGTATGTTTATTACGTGTATTGAAGCTATGATTTCTGAGTAATTTAAGTATATTGTTTTGATGAGCGCATTTTGTATGCAACCTCATATACAAATATTTTAATTTAAAGCTGGATTATATTTTAACGCACTTCTAATTAAACATCAATTATTACTGAAATAACAATAGTCCATTCTAATTATAATTAAATAATAGTTCTACTTCAATATTCGCTTAACATAATTGAATTAATGTGATGAAATAATAATTTCGAAAAGTTTTTGAATTATTATTGTTATATGTTTAGGTAAATAACTTGGATTCTATAATTAATCAAAATTTGTATGCTTATTACGAGTATTGAGGCTACGATTTCTGAGTAATTTAAGTATATTAGAAATTGTTCTGATGAGCGCATTTTGTATGCAACCTCATATACAAATATTTGAATTTAAAGCTGGATTATATTTTAACGCACT